GGGGGGGGGGGGGCGCGCCCCCGGACCCCTTCCCCAAATCCACCAATGAGGACTTTGGCTATTTTGATTTTGTCACTTTACTTTTCTTTAGAATCCCGTGCATTTTGAAGTTACTTTTTGCGTGGGAGATGCACTAAAATTGTCGGTCATACATAAGTAAACGGGTTTCACAGCTATTATTAAAGCCATTGGTGTAATTCCAATATTGTACAAACTCAGGTAGCTGAGATCCAGCATTTGATAGCTTATGATCTCGAATTTCGCAGCTGAATCAATATAGAGGAAATTGCTAGAAAAGTATTTGATATTGCTATTTTAAGGTGTCTGCCGACCGACTTAAGTGCCATCCTAAACCATGACAAGGTCTTGGTTTTATCACGAAACCATTAGCACTTTAGCAGCACTGTTTGCAATGCGTTCAATTCGTGTCAAGCTTGCGCTTAGTATGCGCTTTAGCCGTGCTTCTCAGAGTTTTAAAACCGAACGTTTAACAAAAAAGGGCCGTTTTTAACCATCAATCAGTTTTTTGGCTGCCGTGACGCTAACTGGAGCTCAGTTTAGCTGAAAAAGCTATTTTTTGACCAAAAAGATAGATTTCTCGTAGATAAGCTACGAAATGTCCAGTATCTTAATATGGTGCATGCGCATAAGCCAACTTTTTTTTCTGCGACTGCCCGTTCCAAGTTTTTTTTCTTTACCCCTTTCCTTTCCTTTTTCCCAGCCCTTGTACTCTCGCTACCTTTTGCATTTCATATTCTTTTTGGCTGTCATAAAAAGTTGTGTGTCAATCATGGGCAAAGCCTGGAAATGGAACCTTGATCAATTATAGGTATAATGGGCCATTTTACCACCATTTTTGCACCAAAACTGATAACGTTGTTTTTCTATTTGCTAAGCCAGAGTGTCGTTGATAACCAACACCGACTTTTGCGCGGATAGATCTATCCTTGCTCTACCATCTGCTTACCAAGAATATCTTAGTGGTGACATTTAAATTGATGACGTCACAAGTGGTACAAAGAGCACGACCATTAAGCACGCGTACATGCGTAATCAGGATGAAAGGGGTTATCACATTAATTATTTATCCATTGGGACGGAGAGATTTTGCTCACGAGAACTCACTCGCATTTTTTAGCCTCTGCGAAGACATCCACGCACGCACGTAGTAGTATTATCCGCAGTCGTATGTTTAAAAATAACATTGAGAGGGATAAGGCGAATTACCTTCATCATCTCTTGACTATTCATACTGTGGCACAAAGCCACATGCAGAGAGAAACCACGTTTCACAGATCATTCTTTTTTGTAGTCCTTTTACAAACAAGTGATTTCGTTGGCTCATAAAACAGATGCCATTTCAGAATGAAAAAAAGATGTTTAATCCTTGCTCAGCATATAGTTTTTGATGATTTTGAATCTGCTCTCCTACTGTGATGTCATAAGGGGATCAATCAATCAACACTTTATTTATACATGTTGCTTCTAAGAACTAAGTAAGAAAAGAAAAGGTAAAGTCTGCATACGAGCCAAGTGGTCCACCAGGCCTGAGCTTATCCCGGTTTCTGTAGCATGAAGCGACTAGGAGTATTTCTACTTCCCCCTGGATGGGATGCTAGTCCATCTCAGGGTCACCCGCAACATTAAGTTCACAGTACCCATTTATACACCTGGGTGGAGAGAGGCACGGTGAGAGTAAAGTGTTTTGCCCAAGAACACAACACGATGTCCTCGACCAGGGCTCGAACCCGGAACGTTCGATCCGGAGACGAGCGCACTAACCATGAGGCCACCGCGGGTCCCAAAGAAAGAACTAAAAGCTAAGTAAGCTCGATCAAAATGCAAACGTGCATGTCACCAATACAAAGTACTATTGAAAAGCGGAAATTAACTTTCGGTGATCAGGTGAATAATGTAAAAGTGACAATCGTTGTTAAAAGTTCTTTCTTGAGCTATAATTGAACTTATTACAACATGCAAACTTAGATTAACAAAAAAACTAACGTAAATTTACATCGCCAACATTATACTATTACAAATTAAAGAAAGGTCTCCAATAGTAGATATGAGCTTCACAATCACTACCGAATAAATTGCTGCATATTTTATCTCAATGGATCTATTAGTTGCTTTCATCTGTACAGCTAGAACTATTGACATATTTTCTTGTTCATCTATTTTACATTGAAAAGTGTAAGTAAGGAGTTAAAAATACTTAAACTCATAGCGCGAAAGAGATCTCTCTTAAAACGGGTGTACCTGACGTTTCGATAATCTTTTGAAGACAATTTCAGTTCATTTGCTCTTTCTCCAGGAATCACACTTTAAATTTTCAGTTTAGACGTAACAGACAGCAGCCCATGATAATAACCTACTGAACAGTATTCAATGTTTCTTGGAAGTTGTTTGTGTCCTTAGAGGTTCGTTGACATTTTTCACCAGAGAGATTCCTCATTCCTTTCAGAGTTATCCGCTCGCGCGTCGCCCTCTTTTTATCCTGCATTCCGCAAAAATGACACACAATGTTTTTCAACCCACGACGATAACTTTCCACTAATAACAAATTATTGGATTGACAACAGAAGAAAAGTATAACATAAAAATTGCTATAAAGTAAAATGATCTTTGAAAGGCACAAGAAGCTCTCCAGGAATTTACGAAGCTAAACAAAGTGTATGGAATAACACGAATGTAAAACAACACTAAGACAACAGCCGCCATTCGAGTAGCTTGTCTTCGCTTCTTTAAATAACGTTGTCCGGGTACATTTGGTGCGTTGTCCGCGAGGGTGTTTTTTCCTCTTTTCAAGGTAATTGTTATGGCAGAGTATAAAACGGTTATTAAGGACAACGGGGCCAAAAAGCAGATAGTCACATGAAGCCAGTCATATCCTTGAAAATCTCCCTTGTTGGAAAAAACTGGTTGTTTAACTAAACTACAAAACGTGTTATTCCCATGTTCAGCCAGTCCCGAAGATACGAGCGATGGAAAATAGAAGGCGCAGGCTAAAATCCACGTAGAAACTATAGCTATTGTGCGAATCTTGCTTGAAATAAGACCAAGTTTTATTGGAAAAACCACGGCGTCAAATTTGTCAACTGCTATTCACACCTAGCTTTGAACAGAAACAAAAAGAGACACTGAGGTTGTGAAGATATACACCTTGGAAAACGTCGATCCTAAGATTCCACGCGAGAATTGCGAGAATTTCCGTCATTAAAGTGATTTAGAAAATAGAAATGAATTTCTCATTTAGCATAAAACAGTACTCAAAATTAGAAGTACGCGAAGTCTATTGTTGTTTTCATTCGCAAAGCATCCATGGTCTAGTATTCTTATTCTCTGCTTTGCTTTCAGAAGCGCGCGTGCTGTTACGCTAGAGCGAAGGTCAAGCGAATGCATCCTTTCCTTCGTAATAACTAATATAATTAAAATTGAATCTTAATTTTTCCGGTTTGAACTCATCAGTTAAAGATTTAATTAAAGATCAATTGAAAATCAGTTTTCGCTCTTCCATTCATTTCTGGTAAAGAAAGATTGAATTCGCGAAAGGCTTCATTTGGTTCACAAAACAGAGGTATTACCACTTAGATTGTCTTCTTTTCTGCCTTCTATTACAAACAAACCATTTCCTTGACCTCATAGAGAGGAAGTAATTTGGCATTCCGAGCAGTGAAACGCAATTAAAACTCAACAGAAAAAGGTTTCCCTGCTGTCATTGAGCAATAGTTGCGACATGGCCGATGGAAGTTCAATTGTCAATTGTCAAACAACCTTAGAGCCTTTTGTAATCTGGTACAGTTGATAAGAATCGCTTTGAAATTAGAAAGCTGTCAATGATGGTTTAGTATAGCGGGTCGCAAATTCCCGCTGTTACGCGGCAAGCGGCTAGTGTTCTCTTTGGCCCACGCTTTAACCTAGATCAGGGATTGATTCTTTTTAGAGCTGATTTCTAGTGGAATTTCTTTCTGTTTTGATAGTCGCCATAGACTTGTCGAGCTTGCTGTGTTATTTAAACTTGATTAGAAATAGCTTTATTCATTTGCTTCCGTAAGCGTGTGTAATAAAACTATTGAAGACGTCTTTACAAATATCAAGGAATTAATAAACAGAGAATCAAAGACAAATCTTTATTTCAATGGCTATTGCACAATGCAAAGGAAATCATTTGAAATGGTCAATACATAAAGCTCTCTCAAGCTTAAGAACGTGAATACAAATCCAACTTTACCTTTTTAATAACTAGTTAAAAAAATTTCTACATTACATGCAAGACTAACGAATATACAACTACTTGGAGGCTTGATACTACACCAAAACTGGCAATTTAACAAAGAGAGAAATTTCAATGCCATGAATGTTTAACTGATTTCAGTGAATTCAGTGGTAATTATAAAGTCCTAGCTTTGTGACTACTGTTAAAATAACCTATACTAAAACGTGATTATGTTGTTAAAAATGAAACACTTGGTGTTTGTTCCTCGGTATAAATAAAGTTTCCTCGACATTTTTTATCGAAGTTTACTTTAGTGCTCTAGCATTTACATGTACATTTTTCGCAACAGAGATAAACCATATCTCTACAAAACAGTGTTCAATGTCAGAGTTTGGTTATAGTTATTTTTTT